CACAGACGTCAAAAATCGAGGAGGAGGAAGTCAAGTCGGCGTCGTCAGGTGAGTTCGTTTAACTTTCACTCATCTCACTTGTTAAGGGAATGTATGCAAGTATACTCTCCATATTTTATTCGGGGTAGTATTGATGGGTTTGCGGCAAGTGTTTCCTCTTATTTCCGGCATCGTCCACTCTACATCTAGTTTCTATTCATTTTTGGTCCTTTAAATGAATTTAGTTGTGTGAGAGATAAATAAGGGTAGTTATAATCAAAATAACGGAAATAAACTGCAAGAAATATATTCAAGCAAATAAAAATACAAAGAGGTATTTCAGCGTCAAAATATCTTGTTCTCCATGTACTCTGATTATGATACCGACTACACGAGTTGAGCTGTACACGAACGTTAGTGTTTCTCCTGCCACTGTCAAAATACTCCTCCTCCTGAGACGAGAGACGAGTCGAAACAATAAATTGACTGTTCAGATTACGAGACATATATTTCGGGATCAGGAAGATTGAGTGACGAAGCCGATACCGAAGAAATAAACCTCAATAATTTTTGAACTAATACAATTACATAGAAGTTCTTTAAGAAACTTAGAATGATGGAAAGCAGTTTGTGGACTAGTGAAGCTAAAATACAATACAGTAGTGAATTAGCCAAAGAAAGCATACGTTTATATAAATAAGCATTGATTGAGGGAGAAATAATTATATTCAGAAACCAGGTAGAACTTGAGCAGCGAGGATCTGAAGAAATAAGCATAGCTAAGTCCAGCATAACATAAACCCAAAACACACTACCTTTTTGTGGCACAACTGCTTATTCTAAAAATGATGCACGATAATAGAGAAATGCATACGTTACTTTGCAATCTCCATCTCCACATGTCCTTAGTGCAGTGTTTCTGCTACTTTAGTCTTTCATTCAAAATTTCTATATTCTTACACAAAATACTTTTCATTCCTCCTCTTCGCCAATAAACCCAGTGATGAAATACTCAGTATACTTGCAGGAGATACACTACATACTGAATCATTTCAGTAGCCTACAAGGATGTCAGGGATCTGATAAAATATTAGAGAATCGGTTTGATTGACTGAAAATGAAACGTTGTGTACATAAATAGAGATAGTAACATGCATTAATTAAACCAGGATACACTTTTTTTAGGTAGCCGGGAAGAACTTGAAATTCAAGCAGAAGCGGAGGAAGAAGACAAAATTATCGGTGGTGAGTCCACAATGCCAACGGTGAACTGACTGATTGAGATAACTAGAAGATATAAAACGGTAGTATTTATTATTGATGGTCCTGCCACTGAATTCCACCCCGGTGAAGCTATAGTCTACGAACTTTCCTTGTAGCTTGAAGCCACTGATTTCGATTCTTGAACTGGTTATGTCCTCATACTGCTTGAGAGTTCAAAGGAAGGAAAAAACCGATTTAAGTTACTCCTTGCCTCACAATAGTTCTCTAACGGCAGTCAGTTTCTCATGAAACATCAGAAAAAATATGATATGCATGTTGGGCGCATAGGCAAAATAATGAACCGATGGACCAACAGGTCTATTTATAATTTTGCAAAGGTCAATGGGTTGACCAATGGTATATATAACTGTACGTAACATCCCAAGCATTCAAAACATCCAATGGCTTCAAAGAATACGAAAGGATAGTCAAAAAACAACTAACGACAGACAAATAACGGAAAACATAATTATGAGTAAAATAAAAACGATCATTATACTATGAGCAAAACTCAGAGAAGTGATGAAAATCACAAAGCAAAACAAGAAAAATAAGGAAAACCGAAGAAGAAATAGCCATAAGAAAACACAGAGGAGATACAAAAAATTTAATATCACAGATTAAACGAGAAAAGAAGCAATCAAAAGAAATCTTTTAAAAAGCGAATGAAATTAAATCATACCAATGAATGTGTAAATAAAATCATAAGCAGCTCGAGATACCACAGCGAAAAAAATGAGGTGCACTGCAGAAACCAATAAACGTGAGTCCACTTCATTTCTCACCAATAACTGAAAAAGTCAGAGATGCAGATAGAGTTGGATAAAGCGAGAGAAAGGGAGAGAGAGAGAGAGAGCGGGAGAGAGATGGCGTCATTTGTCTGCAATGTGTCACTACTCGTGAGACTGAACTGGTGAGTAGTGACATCTGTGATTTGTGAACTGGGCGATGCAGTCAGTATGCAATCTGCAAGTTGATTGCAGTTCCGATAGTCCCATCACACATGTTCTCGTCGTACATCTGTGTGCAAGGCTTGACGAAGGAGTAGAGGTGTATTCTGAATGTGGGTGGAAGCGATTATTTCGGCTTGAGGATGACAGATGAGAGGGAAGAGAATCAAGGTGTTTGAGAATACCACTATTCTATTCGGTAGAGTTGTAACGCGATGTGATGATGAAGCAAATGTCAACTGATTGATTGTTGGCCGAATGAAAGAAATGGAGGCGTTTACTGAGAGAGACTAGGCATTAGACGAATATACGTGAATACACAGTCGAAGTGGAAATCATTAACCACGGGAATGATGTGATTTTCAACAAGTGACAGTAACACTGTATACACCCAGCCAACCACCCACCCACCGACACAGGAAGACTGAACACGCTCCAGACATCTCACGTGAACAAGTATACACAGAGCGACGTGACGATATCCTCGAGGTCAAGTCAACCTCCTTACATAAAATGATGCATTTGTCGATTTCTAATTCGGATGCATGTGATTTTCACCTTCTTCAGAAGCTGCAGTTACCACGGCGAAGGAGATGGCGTCGCCTGTAGAAACCACGACACGTGAGTCCACTTCATGAACGAAAACCATTATGATAGAAACCTGATTTTATCAGCCTAATGAAGAGGAAGAGATAGAAGAGTGAAAATTTCAGCTTGACGAAATAACAGCGAAGATTCTAGTGAGCAATAGTCAAAATGTTGTGCATAATAAATCTCCGGCTGAAAGACTATAGTTGTGTTGCATAGGACTAAGTCAAAGAAATCAGAGATACGACTTCACAGATTATAAAATTAAGAAAGTTCTAATGACGTTGCATTCAGCAGCTCAAATCAAAACAGAAAACAAAGAGTAGACAAAGAAGAGAAGCGAAAAACCAGAATAAGCACCGAATGACAACTATCAAAATTGTCATTATCAGATGAAGATATACACAAAAATGCACAATAAAATAACAAACAAAGTGAAAACTTGAACAAAATTAGTCAAACTTTTTCACAAAGAAAGAAAGAACAACAAAAATATAACACTGAATAATGAAAAAAGTGGCGGAAATCGAAAGAAATACCTCAAAATGGGTTAGTAGCAGATTATCACAAGTAACACCGACTGCGACACGCACAATCTCTCCAAGAGTACTTGCTTTGCTGTATCATATGTGAGTGGATGATCGCACTCACTGAATCACCACTCGACAACAATTCACATCTCAGCCGAAATCACCATCAACAAATGTCAGACACGCTTGACGTTCACCTGACACAATCTCCGTAGTCACGATAAGGATGAGATTAGTGTATATTGATTGACAGGCTGCCGACTCACTCACTACACTTGCCACAATGCTTTCTTATTCAGAATCCCCACAGACGTCAAAAATCGAGGAGGAGGAAGTCGAGTCGGCGTCGTCAGGTGAGTTCGTTTAACTTTCACTCATCTCACTTGTTAAGGGATTGCATGCAAGTATACTCTCCATATTTTGTTTGGGGTAGCATTGGTGGGTTTGAGGCAAGTGTTTCCTCATATTTCCAGCATCATCCACTCTACATCTAGTTTCCATTCATTTTTGATCCTCTAAATGAATTCAGTTGTGTGAGAGATAAATAAGGGTAGTTATAATCAAAATAACGGAAATGAACTGTAAGAAATACACTCAAGCAAGTAAAAATACAAAGAGGTATTTCAGTGTCAAAATATCTTGTTCTCCATGCACTCTGATTATGATACCGACTACACGAGTTGAGCTGTACACGAACGTTAGTGTTTCTCCTGCCACTGTCAAATTACTCGTCCTCCTGAGACCAGAGACAAGTCGAAACAATAAATTTACTGTCCATTATACGATACATATATTTCAGGATGAGGAGTATTGACCGACGACGCCGATACAGAATAAATAAACAAAATTCTTTCCATTCCTACTCTTCGTCAATAAATCCAATGATGAAATACTCAGTAGACACACCGGAGACACACTACATACTGAATCATTTCAGTAGCCTAAAAGGATGTCTGGGATGTGGTGAAATGTTAGAGAATCGGTTAAACTGTCTCAAAATGAAATGTTGTATACATGAATATAAGAAGTATCTTACAATAATTAAACCAGGATTCACTTGTTTCAGGAAGCCGGATAGAACATCAAAGTCAAGCAGAAGCGGAGGAAGTAAGCGAAATAATCAGTGGTGAGTCCAGAATGCTAGTGATGAACTGACTGATCGAGTTTGCTAGTTGATATACGAAGGTAGTATTTATAATTGACGGTCCTATCACCGACTTCACTCGAATAAATACAAAGACTCAGATATTTGTTCAGAGTGTGAAGCTACTGGGTTATTTCTACGGATGTTAAAATCTGAATACTATATAAAATATAAGAAAAACAAGCGGAGCATTTCAAGTTCCTCATTATTGAAAAAACAGCATCCTCGCATTCAGCATGGTTTAAAACATGAGAAAAAAAAGAAAAATAGCAAAGAAGAACAGAAAATAATCATATTCCATGTGTTAAAAAACACCGAGTGACGATAAGATAGAAAAACAGACAGAGAAGAAGATGGCGTCGTTTGCCTGCAATGTGTCACTACTCGTGAGACTGAACTGGTGAGTAGTGACATCTGTGATTTGTGAACTCGGCGATGCAGTCAGTATGCAATCTGCAAGTTGATTGCAGTTCCGATAGTCCCATCACACATGTTCTCGTCGTACATCTGTGTGCAAGGCTTGACGAAGGAGTAGAGGTGTATTCTGAATGTGGGTGGAAGCGATCATTTCGGCTTGAGGATGACAGATGAGAGGGAAGAGAATCAAGGTGTTTGAGAATACCACTATTCTATTCGGTAGAGTTGTAACGCGATGTGATGATGAAGCAAATGTCAACTGATTGATTGTTGGCCGAATGAAAGAAATGGATGCGTTTACTGAGAGAGACTAGGCATTAGACGAATATACGTGAATACACAGTCGAAGTGGAAATCATTAACCACGGGAATGATGTGATTTTCAACAAGTGACAGTAACACTGTATACACCCAGCCAACCACCCACCCACCGACACAGGAAGACTGAACACGCTCCAGACATCTCACGTGAACAAGTATACACAGAGCGACGTGACGATATCCTCGAGGTCAAGTCAACCTCCTTACATAAAATGATGCATTTGTCGATTTCTAATTCGGATGCATGTGATTTTCACCTTCTTCAGAAGCTGCAGTTACCACGGCGAAGGAGATGGCGTCGCCTGTAGAAACCACGACACGTGAGTCCACTTCATTTCTCACCAATAACTGAAAAAGTCAGAGATGCAGATAGAGTTGGATAAAGCGAGAGAAAGGGAGAGAGAGAGAGAGAGCGGGAGAGAGATGGCGTCATTTGTCTGCAATGTGTCACTACTCGTGAGACTGAACTGGTGAGTAGTGACATCTGTGATTTGTGAACTAGGCGATGCAGTCAGTATGCAATCTGCAAGTTGATTGCGGTTCAGATGGTCATATGGCATATTTTCTTGTCTTGGATGTTTGTGGTAGATTTGTTGATTGATAAGAATTTTTTCTGATTATCTCTAATTGAGTGTTTTTCTTTTATGTCTACCTATCCTCTGTGGCATTTTTTCTTCTTTATTTTGCCCATATTTTCTTCTTCGTTTATTTTGTTAATATCAGGCTCTCTATTTTCGCTGTGTGTTCTGTAATCTTAACTGTTTTCAAAATTTTTTGAATTTACCCTCCTCTTAGTTTTCTTCTTTCCATCTTTTCACCTTAACAGACTTATCTTTCACACACACTCCTCTGCGTGGTGTATGTGAAATCTTAATCTGACGCATGCCCTTCTGAGATTCAAGTTCACGTCTCACAGTCTTGCAGTATGAGATATTACCACTGAGCGATTCTGTTTCGCGACTGACCTCCTGTATGACTATTTTGTATACTATCAAGTATCTTGTGACTATAGCTTGTTAACTGTAGACTGAATTCTAGCAGTCAAATTTCCAATGAAATAAAAATAACCGTACATGAGTTAATTCGCCAGACCGGCCAGCTCAGTGGTAACGCCTTCCATTCCAGCACTGGGTGACGCTCGTTTAAGTCTAGGAAGAGATATGGGTTCCCTCAAAATTCCATATACACCTTGCTGACGAGCACCAAAAAGGATGAAACTTAGTTTCAAGGCTTCCTGCCGATTACCTCCAACCATCTAACAACAACACGTTTGAGTGGAACTGGTTTACGAGCTACCTAGCATGTTGACCATATTTCAAACTTGACTGGTAGAATTCAGTCAGCAGTAATCAAAGGACTAGACAGATGGCACCAATAAGTGTCCTATCAGAGGACGTGTTTTTATCGTCCTTTACTAGTAATTCAAATTTTCATCTTGTTTTCAACTAAGTTGACACTGCAACAATGATGTTTTCCTGAACGAATGTTCACTCCATTCTAAACAGATTTCGCATGACTTCAACATTACTCATCTGATCAACATTCTTCCCGAAATAATGAATTGTGGTATATCACTTGCAACTTGTGTCTCTCATATTTACATTTGTTAAGATCACATATTTCGCCTTCTGAATTAATGACGTTATCAGACCTCTAGATGACTGAAATAGGAGTCTGTGTGAATACTGTCGACGTGCTTGGAAAACTCAAAAATCTGCAGCTGTCATTATTAAAACGACAACAAGCGACACTGACAAAATTCTGTCATCCACCGGGAACACGAGAAATGAAGAAGTGCTAGGCGTTAAATACTGAAGTATGAGTTGTTACAAGTCGACTTGGATTCAACCACCCATGACTACTTTTCATAACAGAGCATTATGTCAATTAAGCAACTTCCTAGTTACAGCAAATCTACACTGAGGTTTATTCAACGCTGATAGAGAACTAATAATTCTCTTATTGGCAGATTTCAATAAGAGAGATTTCAGTGTATTGAGGATGCCTGTATATCATAATGAAATCTGATAGTGCTGTATTTCGTCAAGAACTACGATGCAATTAATACAAAGTTGTCAGGAGCTAATTGATTACAGCTTTGGAATTGGCTTATTTACATATTTATGCTATTCGATATATGGTGTTGTTTACATACATACACACAAACATACATCAACGCTTTGGCGTCAGACGTGATGACTGCAGTCCCGAAATATTTCCTCAATTCAACTAAAGTGTTAACTACAAATTTTCCTTTTTTTATTTAGACTTACTCCTTCGAGTGAGCGGCAGTTCATCTAACCGTATTCATATTGGTGAGTTCGTAAAGCATTTACCGATATATTTATATATATACATTTGGGGTTCTTCTTCAAACATCTATTCATCCATTGATTTAGTGCATGTATATTGAACACTGTGATTTATTTTCACTGACTCAATTTTATTTTTATGAATAATGTGACATTCACTGTCAACACGAGTCATCAGTATTCCACGGAGCATCCATGCAGCGTCTGTGCATTCAACAAGCACTTCTCAATTCTCTGATATGTCAATTGAAATTCAACAACTGAAACTTTGAAAGTCTGAAAAGAGAAAACAAAGAGTTTCTTGTTTACTTCTTCGTGCCACCTTCAGTTCCACAAAATTTGATATTGTTAAGCATATTTACTCACTTTCCTGACGTATTCAGAATGAAATTATTGTCATCTTGCTACGAATTACATTCATCTTCTCAAATGATCAACCACTGTCATCAAAAATGATATTTTTCATACATTTGGTTCCCTTGATAAATTTCGATAGAGAAAGAAAGACCAGATTTGCAATATAAAATGATATCATTCTATTTCACAGGTTCTCATCAGCTGCAGCCGATATCATTTTATACTGCAAATCTGGTCTTTCTTTCTCTATCGAAATGATATTTTTAAGATCTGGTCACAGATGATCTAGAATTGGGAATTTATGAAATTCCTGTCCATCCCAGATAGAGCTAACGAGATCATTATGATTGACTGACAATAAGTCAGACTGTTGTATTTTGCGAGGCGTACATAAATGTACACAAAAATGTGTTTAATGATGAGTAATTCATCTGTATCCATTCGAATATTAAATGTGGATTGAAAACAACTATGAAACTATATTGGGAGGAGTTTAGAGGTGAATAGACTCTTCCATATCATGTAATTAACAAACAAAATTCCAACGAATTCAACAACTAGAAAGTGTATACATTCTGTGAACTATTGTCTCCGAAGTAACTCCGAAGCTGATGAACCCGATGATACTGATTATGTGTAGTGATCACTTGGTCAGAGTATCTACCTTCCATTGGACACACATACTTCCATGTGATCAAGTATCGCTAACAGCGAACAAAACGAAGAAGATAATTACAATCAACAGGACGGTTGAGTGCTCGTTGTGTTGTCCTCAAATTCATAACTAGCCTCACCACAATGATAGTTTATTTCATTGAAATGAATCTGCAATTCGTATAGCAATATAGGATGCTTTATGATTACACACCTCCCTTTTGTCCATGAGGTATTTTCAAGCATTTACATGATGGAATCATTATCATGCTCTACAGTTGTCCAGAATTCCAGGTAGAATAAATAGTGTGGGAGGACGTGAATTTAGGGAGATGGAAGCCGTCAGTGAGAGAAAATATAAGAGAAAAAATGTTCAGCGAAGAGTATATCTTTTCGGTGATATCATCCTCAAGCTTCAAAATCGCAAATGAATAGTAAATTTGTTAGCAACAAATGCAATATATGCCAAGATGTTTCATTTGAACTGGAAATTTCAGATAACCAGTTAGGCAATGTAGAAAGCGTTAATTGGGTAGAAACTGAAATGAAATAAAATAAGTAGATTGAGTGACTCAATATAACTGAGTGGGTTGAGTAGCATTCAACTGATATTTGATCGAGAATCAAGTTGACAAGAGTGGTTATAAGGGGTAGAAATTTAGTAGGGGTTGGTGGGAGAAAATATCACAATAAGGAAGTAATCAACATACGATTTACTTATCCAGTGTTAAGCGAGATCAGGTCCAGTGTAGATTTAGCACTGAAGCAACTTCTGTTGTATACAGAGTTGAGAATTTACGCTGTTAGCTGTGATTGCTTCTGGAGTTTGAAGGAATTTGATTAGCACTCTGTAAATAAAATTCCCACGTTTTCTGTTGATAATTTTGAAGTTATTTTGCGGGTAGGCTTCGTGTTCTGATTCTATCAAGCCTTTCAGGATAAAAGTGTGGCGAGGGAATCTTTCTTCTCTTCTTTAGCGAATCATGAAGGTAAGTGTTCGATGATACGTTTGGATGAGGAATGCTGGGTACGGACGACATTCCTATCTCCACACGAGCAGGCGAATTGGCAGATGCACATTGCTGAACGCTTTTTCTTTTATATAACTCAACGGGGATTTTCAGTTTGATTAAACTTTGCAAAGATAATATAATCTAATTTGTAACACACTCCGTATTCCACTTACTTAGTCGGAGCATAATCGTTTCAGTTCAACTTGCTCCGGGATCTCCTAAAGTTATCCCACAGAGACCCCGATATCTATGATTTGTTCAACTGACTATATTGAACACAGGATGGAATGATTTAAGTCCTTTCGCATGGTTTATGTACAGTGTTATTTAACGCCCGATTACTTCTGACCCACATTGTCTTCACTATCTGTTTCCTTGACAAAGACGAAGTTAAGCAACCACCGTTCAAGCATCACTCTTCAGTTCAATACCAGACCTTACCACATTTTCATTCAACATGTTTTACTTCCAGGAAGGTTAGTACCTTTCTCAAATCACAAGACTATTCTTGAAACAATATGACTGTTCTCTTTAAAGGGTATTAATAATTCGAGATGCAGTGTCCGTGCTTCAGTCTCACTTCAGAAATACTTTCACATGATTCTTCCTGAGAACCATTATCGAATTATCTGCCACAGATCGCTGTCACCAATGAACTCAACGAAACTGCATTACGTTTAATTCCTGTTAGTCTTTCAAACAGAACTTCCAATAAGTAGATCCAGTGTGCAAGATTCACTCCACATGTTGCTATTCGAATATGAAGTGCATGAAGATAGACACGTTTACATATAGACAGGTTATTTATATTCACCTGACGACTATAATTGAAGTAAGATTTTGTATGCACGTACCCACTAGCATCTATTCATATGTGAATGACCGTTTTCCGCTGAAATCTACTAGTGATGTTATTGAACGAAATCACTGTATTATATTTATTGATATGTAACAATTTGTGATATGATGCTGTCGATTCACCACATGTGAAATTAAAAATGATCCAGTTTCTCTTTTGTCTTGATTCTCCTCCTCCAGGTACCATTGTAGCAATAGTACTCGTGTCAGTTTTGGCGATATTAACCATTATCTACTTCTCGTATAGACGATGGTGTAAACAGAAATTGGTGAAATAAATATTCTCCTCTCAGTGTTCATCAATAATGCTCACGATCATTGTAGTTAGCAAAGGCAACAAGACGCTTTTCAGTCGTCGACGTTTCTACATTATTTTCGTATCTGATTTCACTTAATTGTAACATATTTTAACGTAGTATTCACTTAACTTCATCAACGACAATTCACTCATCTCACTTATTCTCCCATGTGATTGCATTTGAGTCTGCGGAATTTAAATATGTTCAGAATTCCGAATGTTCCGAATCTCCTAAACATTTACTGAACATTGTGTTCACAACTTTTATTCATTCATATTTGTTATCAATTTGTAATTCATAATTAACTGCACAAAGATTATCGCAATGTTGTACTTTCACTCAGTGTCAAATTTTAACATGCATACAAGACAAAACCAGTTGTTATTGTCTGTTGTCTGTGCACCAATGAAGATTATTGTCATACCAGCTTTTGTATTTCTCAATCAATAAAAACATAAATCAATATTGTTTCTACTGACTTCTCGCTATGTTGTTCATGGCTTTTTCAAGATAAAAGTAGATCAGAATTCACACAATCCAGCTTATATACAGTAACCTAATGGTAGTTATTCAGAATGAGGCAATTTTTAACTTCATCAAATGGGTGAATTATTAAACACAGCAAACCATTAGAAGATCGTTGTATCTCATAAGTGTATGAGATTATAACGAACGTCATGTGTTCACAGAATTAAAAAGCTCATGTTATTTGTGCTCATTTTGTCACTTCATCGGGTGGTGAGGAGTATTGGATCCAGGTTCAATTCTGTCTGAATCCGTAATTCCTATTCAGACAACTTGCATTCCACTTAATATTGAAGCGCTTCTTATTTCACCTCCTCTGTGCATATCCACCAGTTTGACTGCTCTTCTGAAACCAGTTAGATTGGCCACATACTAGTTGTCCATCATCGGATTTCCGAACAGCATCCTTCACGATTACACAAAAATCGTGAACAAGATCTATTCACAGCTCTGTTCTAGCACACCTTGTTTGTAGTGAGAGTAAAAGCGATACTAATAAAGCATGTAGAATTATTCATCGCATTCCTACTAATATTCATTTCATCTTGTGAGCTCGTCTTCTACATACAGATGAGATCATCGGGATCCACCTGAAGAAGTCAGCCAGATATGTGTGTTCAAAAGAAATTACTTCAGCTCCTTTCCGAGCCTCGGCCATCAGTACATGAATGTAAAAATTGAAAAATACTCCCTCCTACTAAGCCTTTCATAGATTATAGCTGTCATAATCACATTATTATTCTGAATACTTCATCTTTAATTGCTTGTTATGCAGTCAGTTTGAGCACACGTTTGTTTCCTAATTACTCGTCGAAGATCCTCAAAATGCGCGTTGTGTAATCTACTGGTTCAAGCTTTCTTAAACATTTCCACCTTCCAATTGGAGCACTGCTTTTCTTGGTTGATTACCACCTCCATGACATGGTGATAGTGACCAATTACTGCTGCAAGAAATGCCACTTATGAAGCGTGTGTCATCTTCCAGTTCCCTTGTTCACTCTACTCAGTAGTCGGATAGAGGGTGGAAGTGAGTGACACAGAACTTACATTTTGTCTATCAGCGGGTAATTATAGCCAATGGAAATCCAACCAGGAGTAATACTCGACATTTTTCTATGTATTCGAGAATGAGGAGAACAATTTAGAGAGTAGGCACCAGGTGAAAATTTGAGAGCAACATAAGCTGATATCACGCATTCGGTTCACGAACAACACAGTTAGTTTCTTCTCCTCACCAAAGTAAGGCAGGTTTGGGTGGTAATAACTACTCAGTCCATATTGCCTTCCATACACTGATACGTAATCGGAAGTAGCTGGTCTTAAGTCGGCGTAACCAAGAGTGAAAAAATGTATGCTGAATAACACACTTTACAGTTGGAAGGGTTGTGCTTCAGTTTTTGGAAGAATTCCCTAGGTACTGCTCCATAACATAGATAATAACGGTGTCACCAACAAATCATTCACGAAGGTAAGGTTGATTTGCCAGTCTGCTGTGAACAAAACTTTCAAGTCATGTCACCAAACAGTCTACTAGCAGTGAAGAATTAGACGTCAGAACCACACCATATTTTTTCTCATGTATGACTGTTTGTTGAACTTGAATAAAGTGTTGGATGTGCTCACTGAATCAATGTTCACAATAAACTAAATGAGTTGAAACGGAGCTTGTTGTGCTGCTATATTTTGACTAAACTAGCGTACACGTATATCTTAGTACTTCTTCGCGTTTATGATTGTGTCCTAACGTTGCGATTACTCGACATCCACAACGTAATTCAAAAGGCACTTGCGAAGGAATACGATAGTGTATTATTGCAGCAATCAAAATTCAAAAATCGAGCGAGTACAAAATTATCAATTGTTAACACGCAATCTTTAGAGTGATAAAGAAATCAAAGTCTAATTACATAGTGAAAGTATACTGTGATGATGAGTAATAAAACGGGTCACTACAAGCTCTTTGGTAGATGAGGTAGCTATTTAATATGTCTGAGTCACAGTTGAGAACATAGTTCTACAGGAATAGTTGAAGCCAGCAGTATACAGTGGAGGATCATCAAGGCTTATGCATTATTGATTACTCATGTGATTATCGGTTAGACTGAGGAAATGAGATGTACGTATCTTCAACAAAACTACATGTTCAATGAACTGTGACAGTAGCACGCCCTATCTCCCACTTTACTGAGGACTCGTTGTGGAGGTGTCAAAATTCAATTCTATTTGCTTGGGATTGATGTGTTTCTAATCCTTGCCGACAACTGCTACTTTGCCGTGGTGGTCGGGTTTGAATACCGTAGTGACTCAACAAGCTTAACTGGCTGGGACCCATGTTCCTGCGGGTTGTACCATGTCAGTAAGGTTGTTTCGATAGTGGCTAGACTAAAAGCAGTTACCATGGGGTACATGGGCTCCAGAATCCAATCGGATCAAATGGCGTATGAACCCATATTGGTCACCAGCAACCATGTGAACGCAGCTCCTGACGCTGCTCCGCTGCCTTGTGGATTAGACTCCAAGTCAAAGGCTTGGGGGGCGGTTCCTTGAGAAAACCACCTGCTTCGGTCTGGGCACCCGGGCAGTATCTCAGCCCTCACACAATAAATGGAATGAAGCAACAAACTATAAGTGAAACTTATCGCGCGCTCGTAACAATGCTTTCAAGAAGTAATGGTGTCTCAAGCAACACATCTCTTTCCAACCTTACTTTTATTTTTATACATAGACTCCTGTATTTTACCCTCGCTAACCTTGACGTCTTCACCTTTGATAGCCTTCCGCCTTTGTCTCAATTCCCAGCCTATCTGTGTCGTTTCGAGTTGTTAGTGAGTAGCCTTCAAAATGGTTGTCCCCAACGCGACATCTAACACAGATATCCTGAAACCAAGTTCCACGTTCACTTGAACAGCCATGGTTGATCATTTTCACACAGATGAGGCTACTGGATTCGAAAGATCTCTTAATTTTGTCTCAATGGTAGAATTATGTTCTTTATGAGATGAGAAATGTAAATATTCCACAAGGAATCATGATAGAGAATATTTTCTAATTCTATTACATCGATGACATAAGAAACGCCATCTCATGCTGAATCAAGTATATTCATCACATGAGCATCTCTAAATCAGGGTGGTAACTTCAAGTGGAAGTAGTCCTTCTAAATGTCTGGTTTTATTTGTTCTTTCCGCTCAAATTCCTCCGTGATTATGTATCTATGAAAGATAAAGTCTAGATACACTCTGCTTTGTATTCTAGCTGACAACACCTCAACCTGGCTGGCGACTTCAACCTTCGATATTTCAGAAACGTACTTCCTGCTGACGGAATAATGCATATTTGTAAATTGAAAATGGAGTTCTTGAGCAGCTATTGTTTGAATGATTGTTCAATAAGCAAAGTGTGGGCGACAGACCATGTTAGCTGAGAGCTAACAGAAAATATAGCTTTATCCGCACAAAGCCACGAGCTAGCAGACACGCATGGGGCGCCAAACTGACCAAACACCAGAATCAGACCCACGGCTCCCGTATTAACCGAGGTTGTAATATGCCTAGAGGCACACATAACTTGAGAACAGGATCCAAAATGAATAATAAGAACATATCGGCTACTAGACAGGACACCAGCTGGTAGCATATGAACGGAAATTTATCCTCGAACGCTCATAGTATTTCTGTAGAACCCCATCAACTTACCACGTATAGGTTGACTCACGGTCCTTCTGCATACACGCGCGAGATGAGTCAACAAATATGCGACTACGGAAGACCCAGCAACAACAACCCTCAAGACAATTTAAACACAGGGTACTTTGGCCGTGCAAATTACAACCTGAACAGCGAAACAAACTACCTAATACCGATAAATAATCCCATATACCAACGTAATGATGCCAGAGACCAATATGTGCAACAGGATTTTTTCGGCTGCAGCAAACAATACCCCTTTTGGCTGCGCAATTTGTTCAGACAATAATAGGATCCCTCCAAACATAATATGAGCAACCAAGGTTTAGGGATAGTAACGAGAAGGCGTACTAACTATCCTCCAAACAACCTTGGTTTTGTGAAGATTATTTCCCTAGATGTTCGATCTCTCCTTTACAAGATAACATCCCTTCGCTGTCTGATATACATGCAATGGCCAGAACTAGCCTATGTAACTGAA